ATATATATATATATATATATATATATATATATATATGTAACCTAAAATATCTTCTGGTATCCTATAATGTTCTCAAACATCTTTCCAGACAGAGTCATCACACTTAATCATTATTTTCAGCTGAAGCATTTGTCCTTGCATAGAACAAAATCTTCTCTGTAAATCTATCCCCAGAGAATACCAAAAAGTTTAGATGTCTCTCAGAATGTTTTAGTTCTGCTGTAATTAGAATTTCAAAACCTTACCTTGCACTACCTTTCAAACTTCATCTAACCAAAAAAAGAGGTCTAAAGGTGAATTCCACAAAATTATTGCATCCAATTTAGACAGCAGCAAGAATACAATGCAACTTTTGCCCTTCTGCAGGAAGAACTGATCTGTAATGTTTGAGCACAATTGCTAGCAGAGAGGAGTGAAAACTGGATGCCTTCACTGACACAAGCTCCTGAAGATGCCAACCATGCTGAACATGACTGCAAATCTCCCCAGCAACTCCAGTGGAAGCCTTTTTCCTAGGAGGGACTGTGAGAGACCAAGTCAATGAAACTGGACTCACATACGATGGGAGAAAGGCAGGATTTAACTGTCTTAGAAAATTTTTTAGGGAGTCTTCTTGAAGAGCACAGATTTGGACAGGCTAGCACCAGTTGATATTATAACAGACAAAGTGAGGAAGTGAATATTGCAAAACAAGCAAAACTACTTAGTCAGGTCGAACAGAAGCATTATTATTTCCTAGGCAGGCCTCGAGGTGTAATGGCCACTTAACATACTGCTACAGAGGAAGCAGTTTTGAATGCAAACTCTGTGCCCTGCTGCTGGGCAAGGCAAGACAGGGCAGAGCTGTGGAAACACTGGAAGGATTATGGCTCTCCTTCACCTCCTGCAACAAGCTCTAATTAACATGAGGATCAGTATGGACAGGATTCAAGGGAAACCATGAACGGCTCACAAGGCACTTGTGAGGAACCAATTCTGTTACTTAATCTACAAATAATGGTAGGAATTCAGACTGGGAAATTGATGTAGGTCTCAGAAGATTCTTTCCTCATTATTTCAGATGAGGAATGCAGTGAACAATACTAGCTGTCTGAGAAATAAGGTGAGGAGCCTATCACATGAAGACTATTACCTCAAAGGAAAAAAATCTCAGGGCATTACCTAGAGTTCTCCTCATACCAGGTTCAGGAGAAGAAAAAAGATACTTGGCTCAGATATCTCAAGTGATTGTGAGTGACTATCATTGCACGTTCCTGGAAACCCCATGTTGGGATCTTCAGAGCGTGCAGCATAGGTTTGCAAGGATGACAGAATTTTTCATTTCCAAAAGTAAGCTATCCATAATTAAAATCAGCAAACACTAGCTGAAAATATTATAGGAAAAGTACTTACTGCCAGCATTTTGTACCCTCCTCTCTTCAAGAGTCAGAGAACGTTAAATGTTAAAAGAGAATGTTAAATGCTGAAGAGAACCCAGGTGACTTTAAGAAATATCTTTAAAAAGTCCTTGTTTTTCATTGTGAAAGGTTCCCAATAAGTGTTTAAAAACATAATTGTACTTGTAGGAACAATTACAGTTTTGTACTGCAAGGGGAGCTGTTGGCACGTAATACTACGATTGTGCATTAGATCATCCACTAGCTTCTGTAATATCCACTTCCAGCTATAAGGAGTCATGTTTCAACACCTCCGATTCCCTGATGCTGACAAGCTAAACAACTTGTTTTGTCTCTGGGAGCTCTTCTCTGGTGATTAACTGCTTATGGTGAATACTAATTATATGAAAGTACAGTACAGTAGAAAGAGTGTCCTATTTCCTCTACCTGCAGAGTCTCCATCGTCTTCTGTAGAGACAGTGCACTATTAATTCAGCTAAAACCAAAAAGATGACATTTTTCAGGACCACAAATAGGTTAATCTGTCTCTTATAGCAAAACTTTCTTTATCTTCCTGTCTGAATAATAAGTTTAAAGGCAAAACATTGTGCATTTGTAAATGCCTGTAATAATTCTAGGAATAAATTTGCAGTAGGATGTGTGCAAATGAGTTCTGTTAGTGGTAAAGACAGAGCAATGTCCCCAATTCCCCACATCCCAGTTTGAAAATTTACCCCAAATTATCCATTCCTGAAACTGCACCTCAGACTAACATCTTTCCACCAGGGAGTCTATGAGAATTTGTTCTTCAATTTTAAATCTAAAGTGCCTTTTAAAATGCTAACACTGCAAAATTAGAAACCATTAAACAATATAATGCAGAGAGTGATTAAATCTACCAAACACATTCAAAGCAGCTTAAGCTACTTTTTAATTAAAAAGGAAAAGATATCACTGGCAACATTCAGACATCTTTATCTAGATAAAGTTAGGAGATTATTCAAAACACAAAAGATGCTGATGCTACCGTGCAGGAGTATGAATGAAATGACTTGAAGATTTCAATCCCTCCACCCTAGGTACACAGTCTTAGGGCAGAGAGGGACAGAGCACAGCCAGTGCTGCAGTGTGATCACTCTATGGTTGCTGATTAAATAAGTGACACTAACAGTGGCCTTGGAGAGAGGCTGTGTGTTCCTCCTTCCTTCCTGACAGGATGGTGAGTGAAATCACAGTGGCTATAGCAGTTGAGTAATGGGTAACAAGATGTACATATCAGGGAGGAAAGAAGGATCGTTAGTGTTTCAAGAGCCAGTTTTAATAGACAGAAAAGAGCAATACCTTATTGGTATTGTTTTAGGTTTTTTAAGCAGCAAATTTAAAGAAGCATACTCTTTTAAAGGTACATTTAGACCCCAGCATTGTGGCTCAAATTCAGGCTCCAAAGAAACAGACACAGTTCTGCTGAAGCACTGTAATTATGTCCACTTATTTTGTAGCCAAATTCAAACCTGCAGAAACATGAAAAAGGACCATCAGTTTTAGTCAACCAGAGGCAAGATGCCAGGAGCCAAAGATCAGCCTCCTCCAGGCTGAGATGATATAATCTACTCCAAGGTCCTGAAGCCCAGTGTTAGGAGCATCACAAAATTTACTGGTGAACAGCCTCATCTCTTACTTTCTTATTACATATGAGCACTACTCTGTTCCTCAATTTAAATCTGTGATTTTAATATTTATTGCATCCAACATATTTTTATTCTTCCCTCTGTCTAAGAAAAGGTTGGTCTTACCTAAAAAGCATGCTCTAAAATAAAGCACAGGTACTTGGTAGCTGCTGGAGTACAAGATATGATATTCATAGCGAATCATTTCTTCTGTTGCACAAACTCCAGCCACTTGAGAATCATCCAAAGACTCCTAAAACAACAAACATGAACACAGTAATACATCAACTTCTGTATCTGTATCGAGGGAAAAGTAATTACTACTACTGTAATAAATTAAATAAATATACAGAACAGAAATAATGGCAATCACCCCTTTCGCAGCGCTACTCATTTAAATCCCCGAAGGAATTTTTCAATACTAGCAAGAAAATCACAGAAGTCCAAAACCTAAAGGCCTCTTAAAGACTTACTGTGAACTATGTGTAAGCATTTGCAGACCTGAGGTCTTTCTAAGTGCAGGCTGCTTTTCTAAGCAAAAGACAAAAGCTCTCTACAATGTTTATGCCACAATAACTGGTACAGTAAGGTGACTACAGAAGCATCTCTCCCCCTTACCTTTAGTGCAGACCATTTTAAAAGTGTATCCTTAAATAATCTGATTTTGCTTGCCAAAAGACAAACCAAATGTTTCTACCAAAAATTCTTTTCTATTTTCTTGAAAGGCTTTTTGCCAGAGGTCATTTTTTCTAATAATACTTCTAAAACAGAAATAGTTTCTTCCTGCTCATTTATATTTCAGGTATAAATTAAGTAAAGTTTGTAGATCTGAAATAAATCAGAAGAGAAGGAAGATATACGCCCCAGCTGCAGCATAAATTTCCTAACATTTCAAATTAATGCTCAAACAGAGCTAAGTACCCAGTTGTTTTACATTTTCTAAAAACTGTGGATACTCAACATATCTGAAAATGGAACCATTACATTAATAATGCCATTAAATGGAGGAACAAACTTTCCAAGAAGACACTATGGGTGTGGACTTGTTCAGTTTTCAACCCCCAAAATTTACATACATGAACTAAGCAACCATAATGCCCCACAGGTTGGGTGTGCATTTCACAAGTTGACTATTGCCAAGGAACTGTGAATACTGGCTTACTGTCTCTGCCCAATCAAAATAAAAAAGACTGAACAGAAAAGAACCACCACTATGCTGGTTTAACACAGAAGAAATCTAAAGCTATTTTGCATTTTTATCTCACAACCTTAACTCAGCAATTAATGACTCTATGAAGAGATATAAGAATTGATAATCTGTAACAGCAATGACACACAAAATACTTGCTTTTTTTCTTTGATAGCCCCCATAAAAGTGATTTCCCCCAAACTTAGCGTATTAGTCAACAAGATGCTTCTGAGGCACATGGGTACAAGACCATGAATGGAAAGCACAGACCTTGGGAAGCTACAGACCAAGGTACTGTAAATACATTTTTGGACATTAAATGAGAAAATCATAGAACAGAACAGAAGGTTTCTGGGAAATTCTGGACAGCTGAAGGAATGGTTTAATTTAGTTCATCAGGAAACAGATATCTAAAGCACTGGAAGAGAAGGTTAAAGAAAGAGCTTTCTGCGTTAACCTAGTTTTAAAACCTGTATGTGAAGGGATACTAAAGACAACATGCCAGAAGGGGCAATGATGATAACTGTATCTGACCTCACAGGCCAGGCAGAGTTAGGTACGCTACGCCCAGTTCCCATCTAAATGTGTAATGGACTAAGAAGGCAAATTCTCTTCCACCTCACACAGGTCATATCCTCTGATCAGATGTGAAAACCGATGTGAAAACAGATTAAGAAAAATCTCCAGGAAAACAGAAATTTATTCTCTATATTAAGATGAACTTTCTTTAAAATTGATCCATTCTCAATGCTTTAGTGAGAATAGTAAAAGAAAGAACAGCAGCAGCTTGTGGTAAAAGAAAACAAAAAACTACAGATTGGCTTTCAAGTTTGCAGGGGTGGGAAGGAGTCCATATTCAGAACTGAACCTACATTAAAATTTACAGAACACTTTCAGATCAACCTCCTGGAATCAAAATCATACTGCTTTACAGACATTAATGTTTCATCAGATATTATGGCCTTGCCTATTGCTTAGTCACGAGCTTAACTTACCATACAAAAATACTTGTGGAAATGGCAAGACTATCCGTTCATGTACTAAATACTACTGTTCTAAAAAAAAAGATGTATGTATATACATATTCTCTCTCCTGCTTTCTGTATATAAGGGTAAAATGACTATATACCCTCACATAAATACTGATAGCTAATTTGTGACTATTTTAGACTGAATGATAAGAAGCCATATTCTTTATTACCTCTAAATACTTAGGAAAAGAAGCAAGTTAATACTCTCTCAAAAATTAAATACTCAAAGCTGTATACCTTTAGGGAAAACACGCTTTATAAAAACTACTTACCATATCAGAAAGTCCCAAATTAACCTAGAACAACATCATTAAGAATTCAACTTACTGGGTTAGCACAGATTTCAGCTGGTAAGCAACTTCTATCTTCCTTTGCTGGAGTAGCAAAAGGAAAGGAGATACTTTCTAATTTCATTGTTCCTTGACACAGCCACTGAGAAATCTCAATAATTCCTGCCATTACCAGATGTACATTAGATGGTGAGGTGCTTCCCAAAATATCCTATTAGTTCTAGAGAAAGGTGATTTCAACCAGAAGTGGCCTTCCAGATGTACATAGTTTGACGGCAGGAGACACAGCAAAGAAGGGAAGAAGGCAGCTTTATTGCTTTACTCCTTTGGAGAGCAGAGTATGTTCAGACACATATATTTTGCATTATCTTGGATTTTTTTGAGTAAGAGTTTAGGCAGCTTCTGAAATGAAGCATTCAGCTGAATGAAAAGCTCAAAGAAGCCTTGAAAACTGACATTCTTCTGCTCTGTAACAAGATGGACTTCAGACTACTACAAAGTTTTTACACTTAACTCAAGAGAAGTTTCTGATACTCAGATCTCTTTTTCTGCTGTTTCTAGTGACAAGTGGGCACATTGTATTTGTCATCTGCATACAAGGGCAGATAGCTGAATCCTTCTTAGGGCTACCTCTAATCCCCTTCCCTTTCAGTAAACAGCAGTTTCAAGATTTCTTACAGAAAAAGATACAGCATTGATGTGTAATCCTGTACTTTACAGTCTCTGTAAGTACAACGCACAGTATTTATGCAGGGAAACTCTATTCTGGAGCCTAAAAGTCTTGATGGTATCTCTCTAGCTGATGAGATGAACTTTGCTGATGAGATGAATAAAATGAGTACAGTCATTTTAGGCGATCTTTGGAACCTCTAAAAATCTATGCATGGCTGAATAAACCCATGGAGCCTCAGAGAGTTTTATATCAGCCCAAAATAATATATTTATTTTTCTTTTTAACTACTGATAAAGTCATAAATATAAAACATACATGTAACATTAAAAAAAAATAATCTAATTTTATTTTTATATATATATATCATATGATAACCTATTTTAAGTTTTTTCTTCAAGTAATTGTTCTAGTTTCTTTTTATATGTATAGTGTTGCTCTCTTTTCAAGCTAATGCTGAATTTCAGTTACTGTAAAAGACAACATCAAAATCAGTTTTAACTTCAGAAGACTTTGTAACTGCTGCAAAGCATTCATACATGCACACACACCACAAAAAAAAAAAAATCATAATTTTTCTTAGATCTTGTAAAGATAAAACAAATACCTGCATTTAAAAAAATAATTAAAGCATTAACAAAAAAGGGTCTTTGACCAAATTGCGATCACTAAAAATGCTATGAAGTAATTTGATTTCCCCATTTTTTGTTTCTGCTTTGCAAATTAGCTTGCATGCTTCCCATGCTTCAAGTTAGAACTGTGAATCCAGGACTCACTGACTGTTTCCTAAACAAATTGTGAAGTTGTCATCAGGAAGCATCTGCTCCTCTATTGCTCTCACGTAAAATTGTTCTCATGTTATCATAATGGACTGTTGAGCAGATGTTTAAAAGCAATGTATGTATTAGAAAAAAACATAAGCAGCAACTACCTAATTAATTATATTAGTTTCATCATAAATGAATTATCACTAATTTTAATTGATACAAAATTGTTCTCAACCTTTAAGTATCCCCTAAACAAATTAAGTAGATTTCTTCATTTTAAAATGCTAAATTATTTAAATCAATAGCTAAGAAATTATGCTGCATGTCATTCTGAAGGCAAAATAACATATTTGTACTATTTTTATTCCTCGTGATGAAGGCGGCAAGTTTAAAACCCCTGGTAACATGTTAATTTGTCAGCAGGAGAGAGTTAATAGTGTGGTTTGATACTCTAGTAGTAACTGTGCTAGCAGACTAAAGAGCAGCAGGAAGGTATGGGTTAAGGCAGGTCAGCTTTGGAGGGAGGGCTCCAAAGGAAAGGGAAGGGCCAGGGAAATGACAGACAGGGTAAACTGGGAAGGCGACAGTTACCAAATAAAAAAGAGATTTTTCTCTTCTGACACCAAACATTTCCCCCTCTCTCCACCTCACCAGCAGAGACCGGCTGAGCCAGCCTTCCTTGCTCCTCAGCCCAAATTCCCTCTGAAATGAAGAAGCAGGCCCTAATGTCTGTTTTTGGGAAAAGCTAAGAGAAGAGGTTTAAAGAACAGCAGGCATATTTCTCCTGGATCTCCAGTCACTGTTGCCTGTCTCCCAGATCCCATGCCCCTCATCTCCTTTCATGCTGTCTTGACCTCTATTTCCTCCTGCTGCAGGCCAGCCTCCTGGAAAATTCTCCTGCAGGGGCATGGCAGTACTGGGATGCAAGCAGGAAAGGGAGGAAAAGGTGACGCAGGCATAGTTACTGGTACTGCTAGTTTCATTGTGAGGGGGGAAAAAAGGAGATGCAATCCAGATTAGTAAGCAAATATTGTTTCATTTCTTGGAATACATTTACACTTAATTTCATTTCAGCCTCTAAAGTTGAAAACAAACGTATCACTGTTTCTCCAGCACAGCATTTCTCTTTCTTCAGATACGACTCTGAGCTACCGTGTGAAACACAAGAGCTTTCAGGGAGCAGTTCCCCTCCCCGTTCAACACCTTCCCTTTGGCAAATAGGGAGATCTGAACATGAAAACTGAATGGTAGGACAGTGTTCATCAGATAGAATTAAAACAGAGCTTAATGTGGAGGGTGCGGCAGC